AAAAAAAGATAGCCGGACCATCATATTGTATCCTCCTTTGCGAAATTCCGGTAAGATATACATATGACCGGTCGTGACGTTGCTCCTTAGAGGCACCTACAACAACAATGTGACTGGTATACCAGTCAATTACATCCCTAGGTACAGGCTTTGAGGTATTGAACCTTCCTTCACTGCATCTAAACAGGATGTTTTTCTTTTTCAGGTTAGTGGAACTGGAATCTATTCTCCGTGTACTGCCTTTTCCGTTGTGGCTGCCGTCGTTCAGTTGCCATGGGAAGTAGAGCATTTATCCCTCACTTCGACAGCCCTTCCCAGCCAAGAAAGAAGAGGGAGAACAAAGAAAAAGTGAATAAAAAATAAAAAGGTGTATTGGCTTATGACGTTTCTCTACGGTATGCGCAATCCAACGTTCTTTTAGGGGTGCTCAGTTAGTTGTTCCAAGAAGAGTTGAGTGGAATGAACTGAAATACTTTAAGTTGTCTCAAGGCAAGTGTCTAAGCGCCGAATGTTCGAAGCAAGGTGGAAGTTAATATCATTCACGAAAATGAGAGTATAGCATTGATATCCCCTTCAATGGATTATGTCTTATCTTCTTGACTGTAACGATGGCGAGTAGATAGTTGCTGAGAGCAAAATCAGGGGAAAGACGACCTAAGTACCGTTTGTATCTCTTGGTTCTATGATGGCTTATCTCGTGTCATTTATAGGCTGGGTTTTGAACCGGTAGAAGCGAATCTTGGTCAAAGTCCGGGCTGCAAGAGTACGTACGGATTTGCGTGGGTCGTTTTCGCTTGCGACACTCGCGAACCCAAGGCATCACACAGTGAACATTATCATCCCCTCATGGCGTGAGCGACGGACTTTCAGTCCCGCTTGCTGGGATCGGTCTGAGAACGAGGACATGGATAGTGGTATCCATGGCCTTACGCTGGAGGACTGAAATAAAAGCACGCATGAGAGCCATGGAAAAGAAGTCGAAGATAACACCGTGGTCTGGCGATATCAAGTCCATTCAAGTGGTTCGATCGTGTGATTTTTGTGGCTCTTCAAGATGCTCTCGGAGCGACAAATCCCGGTAACGAGCCGTATCCGGACTGGAGACCGGACCTCGTTCGGGGTTTCTTGTAGGGGAAAGCCGTGGGGATTGGTGACAGACAGGCCGGACGGCGTGGACGGAAGTGGTCAAATGAGCCGGGACCGCCGCCGGGTTTGATGATGAAAACGTTTGAAGTGGCCCGCGGATGGGTGGAGCCTTTCACAAGCCCTGGATAAAAGCGACGTGGACGAATCTCGTTGCAACTTTATCGGCTTTTTGCCTCGTGTGTGTGTGTGGGGGGGTGGTAACAGAAACTGAAAGCATGTACACAGTGGTACGTACAAACCTCGGGAACTGTTTTGCCCAACAAAAAGAAAAATAAGAAACGAATTATCTCTCCGTTCCGAGAATTCCCAACAGAAATTCGAGCGCCGACTCCGATAAATCTGTCTTGTCGCCTGAGGATGAGCGGCGCGACAAGCACTCAAACCGTCCAATGCCATTTGGCCATCGCATCATGGCATGAACCCAAAAATGCAACCCCCACTCTGTGTGTTCCCTTCCAGCCGACGACCCGCATGAAACCTCCCCTTGCACCCAAACATGGGAGCGGGTGGCTTGGGGGACCCTGATGGTATGGAAAAAAAAAAAAAATACACCATGTGAAGACCTCGTCTACAGGACGGGAATTCATGCTAGCCATCTGGGATCCAGTCAAAGGAACGAGCAACTAGTATGCTCAGACTTGTGAAAATTGAAAGGCCTTCAGTTGTTGACAGGGGCAATGGTTGAAGCGCACGTCCAGGTACGATGAAACACCCAGCCCTGTCCGAGTTGAAGTGAAGATGGCAAAACGAAGGCCAGCTCAGACGAGTCCAAGTCCTCGTCCTCTCAGTCTAGCTACCCCGCGCAATGCTACGCTGTACGAGACTAGGATCTCCACCCATCCTTGTATCACCTTATCTTGGCCTCACAGCCCCCGCCCGGGCGTCCAGCCCAGCCCTGAGTGCTTATCGATAAAGCTTCTTTTTCGAGTTGGAGACGGCATCTTGAAACGATTTCGTCCGAGCACTGAAATCGAAGGCGGGAATCTCATGAGCACATGATATGCTCCCAGGCCGGGGCTGGCTGGCCTCGAACCGTTGCCGTCTAATCGAAATATCGGATTTGACTGTTACCGGAGGAAGCAACGGAAAATTCAGCGCGCGAGATAGCTGCAGAATATGCCGAGCTAAGGTGGAACGCAACATGGACGATCTCCAACCAGCCAGCCAGCCAGCCAGTGAAGTCGCTTTGCCCATGTCTCCAGCTTCCCGTTTTCGCCCCTCCCAGGGGAATGCCCTCGACGCGACAACAGATGCTCTGCTTGTCACATGTGAAGGGCAATCAATCAATGCATCTGCGTGTCTCTCTTTTCGTCAAAAACCGTCGTTGGCCAGTTTGTCGCTCAACCCTTTTCTCAGCTGGGTGGTGCAAATCCCCTCAACCAACTGGACCTTTGTTTCAGCTCACAGGCTAGCATGTGAATGTTAAGGTGTACTTTAGTTGGAGGCCTGTACTCTGTACTTTGAACTCTACTGGCCGTCAGATTGCCATACAATATTGGTTTGGACCTCAATGCATCCCGATAACATTTCCTATTGTGCAGTGTGTGTAGCTTCCTACAGTGCAGTCATAAATTGTAGACACGATGCACAATTGGCAGACATAACTCGGCTGCATCAATGCATTGGTTATTAGAGCCCAGCTTGGGTAGGTTTATCGTCGGGTCTCAATTGTTTTGGAAAGTGCGAATGGTTCCTGGTGGTGGCCAAAAGCTGGAGGCGGGCCCTGTCCCTCCTCGTTTGCCTGGACGCGTCTCGATCTTGCCTCATTGTATCCGCAGTCTGGGTGCTGCAACACTGAAGCGAGTGCATGGGCACCGAAATTGGGGCGACTTTGGTTTGCTAACAAATTCTGCTGGCATCCAAGGTATCGATCTTCGGGAATCCCATCTCCAATGCTTTCTCACGAGTCGGTATATAAAACCTAGAAACAATCGGCCTCTTCAAACCCAAACGAACCCTTTCCTCTCCAGTGCCAGTCTCCAGGTTACATTCCCCCAATCCCGGACCGAGCCCCGTACCATCGGGAATCCCAACAAATCATCCCCCGGGCATAAACAATCGACCCACGTCTAGCACCCCATTTTTCCCGGGGTCTCTGCGAGACAACAAAGATCAGATTGATATTGATTTTTTTTCTTTCTTTCTTTTCCACGCATTCTCCTTCCTAAAGATTGGGTTTACCACCAACCTTTCTCTTCCCTGTGTGTATACTCCTGTTTCGGTTGTGTCTCCAACAAGCCCTTGACGGTAAGCCTTTGCTCCATGCATTCCTTCCCGGTATCTTCCATGCACTCCTCCAGCCTCTTCCTTGAAGAGTCGACCAACACCCCGATTGTACCCACCTCGACCATTATCAACCACAAAAAAAAGACAATAAACAAAACAAAACCCACGAGTCTTCTTTGCTGACGCTTCTCTGATTTAGTCTGCTTTGTGACATCAGGCAGATAACGGTTGTTGTTGTTGGGATTCGTCTCGATCTATCCTACTCGGTTTTTCTCTCCCCACCGATTAATTCCACCTCACAAGATGGCTTCCGTCTCCTCTGCCCTTCCCGAGGGCAACAAGCCTGCCCTGCGCAGGACCCAAACCGAGGCCACCTCCGACTCATACCCTGGTACCGCCGATGCCTCTCCCTTTGACTCTCCTCTTGAGCGCTCGGCCTCCAACACCTCGCTTTCTTCCCTGGCCTCCGACAACGTCAAGACCGACAAGGCCGAGTTCGGCAAGCTGCTCGACACGTACGGCAACGAGTTCGAGGTCCCCGACTTCACCATCAAGGACATCCGCGATGCCATCCCCGCGCACTGCTTCGAGCGTTCGGCTCTTCACAGCTTGGCGCACGTCGCTCGCGACATCATCTACCTCACCGTCACTTTTTACGTCTGGAACAAATATGTCACTCCCGAGTACATCCCCATGAAGGCTGCCCGTGTCGTTCTCTGGGGTCTGTACACCTTCATGCAGGGCCTTTTCGGCACCGGTCTCTGGGTTCTTGCCCACGAGTGCGGTCACCAGGCTTTCTCCCCGTCCAGGTTGATCAACGACACCGTCGGCTGGGTCCTCCACTCTGCCCTTCTCGTCCCCTACTTCTCGTGGAAGTTCTCCCACAGCAAGCACCACAAGGCCACCGGCAACATCGAGCGTGACATGGTCTTCGTTCCTCGTACCCGCGAGCAGTTTGCTTCTCGCATCGGCCGTTTGGTCCATGAGATTTCCGAGTTGACCGAGGAGACCCCCATCTACACCTTGATCCACCTTATCGGTCAGCAGCTCATCGGCTGGCCCAACTACCTCATGACCAACGTCACCGGCCACAACTTCCACGAGAGGCAGCGCGAGGGTCGTGGCAAGGGCAAGAAGAACGGCTGGTTCACTGGTGTCAACCACTTCAACCCCACTTCTCCCATCTATGAGGAGCGCGAGGCCCCCTGGATCATCGTCTCCGACATCGGTATCGCCATCGCCGCCACCGCCCTCATCTACCTCGGCAACACCTTCGGCTGGTCCAACATGTTCGTCTGGTACTTCCTTCCCTACCTCTGGGTCAACCACTGGCTCGTTGCCATCACCTACCTCCAGCACACCGACCCCTCGCTCCCCCACTACACCCCTGATCAGTGGAACTTTGTCCGTGGTGCCGCCGCGACTATTGACCGCGAGTTCGGCTTCATCGGCCGTCACCTCCTCCACGGCATTATCGAGACCCACGTGCTCCACCACTACGTCAGCACCATTCCCTTTTACCACGCCGACGAGGCCTCCGAGGCCATCAAGAAGGTCATGGGCCGTCACTACCGCGCTGACGTCCAAGATGGCCCCATCGGTTTCATCAAGGCCATGTGGAAGGCTGCTCGTTGGTGCCAGTGGGTTGAGCCTACCGAGGGCGCTGAGGGTAAGGGCAAGGGTGTCTTGTTCTACCGCAACCAGAACGGTCTCGGTGTCAAGCCTGCCAAGCTCCCCAAGACCAACTAAGTATTTCAAGAAAACGATGGATGGATAAAAGTTCAAAAGACCCAGGTCGAGAAAGATCGACTTGAGGCAGTGATAAAATTTTGATCGGTTTGGCATAGCCTGGTCACGCTCAGGACTACGTCCCCACAGGAGACATGCACGGATTGCTGTAGAAATCTGGAAAGGTATCATATCAACTTGTTTCCAGGAAATCAACAGAAATGAGCGGTTTGGGTCTTTGTCATATCGATATGTGGGAATGGGAATAGGAACGGGAATGGGAACCGATGATTATAAAATCGAATCGGAAAAAAAGGATACCAATCAATGACGAGATGTTTGCAATATTACTAGAGACATCGTTTTCTTTCTCTCGCTTTTGTCTGTATAGATGTGGAATGCATAGACAGTAGTAAAAAGAAAGAAACCTAGAGAGAGGTCTGATGGTCTGAAATGATAAGAAACAAAAGAAGAATTATCAAGTACTTAATGAGGATGAGTTCCGCAGTGACGCGTGGGTATTGGTTTTGTTCTTGAGAATCGTCAAGCATGGGCATTGTATGGCATCATCGTCAGTGCGATAAAGGGAAGTAGATGAAGGATAGAATTTGGATTGTTAACATTATGGAGCTGTCTGGTACAGCATAGAAGTTTCGGTTGAAAAGGGAGTCCCCGAGAACAGATATGTATATGTTTTACAACTCATGATCTTTGCTTGGCCGTTGTCATCACTTGATCACAACGAACCTCTCAGCTTCAACCGGCAGAGCATTTTGGTCAAGCAGCTGGTTATGATTTCTCGCTCACGTAATTCCAGGCGATCCGATTGGATGATTGGAGGGAGGGATGGGATCATCCACGCAACGCCGTTCACTACGCTACTACGTACAACTACAACTACACTACAATGTTCCTTTCTAAATACCACCCTCACTGTGTCACTTTAACATATACTAGAAAAATCATGAAAATCAACTGTTTCGTCGCTTTGCGTCCTCATCAATCAATGATGACAACCCAACGAAGTGTGAAAATTAGTGCGGGGTGTCCGGCGTTCGGGTAGGTGCCCCTGATGTCCGTCCTTTATAGTGTAAAGTGGAAACCATCCAACCATCCGTCCTTTCATCCATCCATCTATGATCCGTCCAGTATGCCGTCTCAAATGTTCATCATGTGACACCAGAACACACAAGCACAAGACATGGACACAGATACAGATAATGACCTCAACGCATATATACCGCACGGACTGGGGTTCCGTATACATACAAGTACTCGAGTTCTTTTTGTTTGAGCAAGAGAAATGACAGGCAGAATTCTCTCTCGTTTAGTGTACGTGGTCGTTGAGTTGTAAGTTGTATGTAACACACAGTCAGCCTATGGTACTCGTTCGTCGCCTGGCTCCCTGGCTTCCACAACGATAACAAGTAACTAGGACCTAACATCGAAGATACCTACCTAGGTACTTGTAGATAAGAGTTGGGGTGCCTGTCCGGCTTCTTTCACTTCGATAACAGGTATGTACCTATAATCATCGAAGCTACCCATTTGCTTTGCGATAGATAGATAGGAGCGCTCGGGGTGGGGGATACATACATGTATAGATAGATGTCATGACACCTGAATTACAAAGCGACGGACCTTCTATTTACATAGTAGCAGGAGAGATTCCAGCCATTTCGTAACGGTGTAGCGGGCTGAACTATTTTTCTGTCATTCAACCCGGCTCCTACTATAGCGTTTATTGTTATATACTCAACCTTGATATTTGCCGGTGAATGATTACTATCTCTGTCTGGTTCATAGATGTTGGTTGGCAAAGTAGTAGCTCATAACTCATAACTCGACTTGGCCTTGACGAAGAAGAAAGAGATCGGATAGACCAACCAACATAGCACACACACACACCTGACTGATACTCGTTCGACCTTTGACAGATCATAACGGAGAACGGTAGCAGTATGTTTCGTTGCTAAGAAAAGATCTTGCTCTCCTACACCATGTGGATCAATCCCTTGTTTGTCATTGCTATCTATATATATGGTAGGCACACGCCACCGATAGAGTTTAATTCATACTCGTTCAACAAGCCATTACGACATGAGCATAATCTACCAACAGCATACGCGGAGAGATATGAAAGAAAGAACGAGATATAGTACAAGGGAACGTCCAATTTCAATCAGGATTATATGATATACCACTCCAACTAAATCGGGATATAAATGCCCCTTCATTAATATCCACAGGCAGACAAAGTCAAAGATCCCTAGATACACACACAGATGAAAACCAAGTATAATCAAATCATCACCACTCTCATTCTATTCCGCCCCATTTATGCCTGGCTGGCTGGCATTCGGAAATTGTCCAAAAAGATATTAAATATACACAATACTCAAAACCGAGGTTTTGTGGTTGTTGTTTTGTACACGAGGTACACAAATTACTTCGAAACTGTGCCGAAGATGAGCAAGAAAGAAAGGAAAAACAAGATGCCAGTTCCCCAGACGGTGTTGACAAGCCGGCGCAGCGCTATCCAACCTGGAGGAAAATTAAGAATTGAACAGTGAACAGAAACGCCGGTGGCCGCTGAAAAGTGGTTGGTGATGGCAAGTGGTGGTGGTGGTGGTGGTTGCTTATATGTGCGTATCGTTGTTGGGTATGTGACATGAGTAAAGACATGGTTGGTTCCTTTGTATGGTGACTTGCTTTCATGACGTATTTGCGTGCAGTTGGTCTTATGTTCCCCTCTCCTTGTGTGAAAATCCCTTCCCACCGCTTTATTCCAAAGACAAGGAAACGAAATATATATATATATCCGCTCTTTTTGTATGTTTAATGTTATTTTTTTTCTTGTTTCTTCCTCGCGCTTTAAGCTTGCGCTTTCCCGGCTTCCCTTACAGCGCGCATCCAGCGATCTTCCTCGCCAGTGCTGCGCAGAATGGGCGCCGACCTCAAAACGCCATCAGATGAGTTATTCATGATGGCCCTGACCTCATGAATGGACTTGGTACCCATAAGGGACATGCCCTTCTGTAGCAGAAGAGCAATGCCTGCACGAACGAGGACGGCGTCGCCTTCGAAAACGTACACGTCCCAGAGTCGGGTGGCCTCATCCAGAGCGAGGTGGCGAGTGAAGAGGCCAGTGAAGATGTCGCCCAAGTAGAGATCGGGATTATGATCGGGCAACTTGATCAGGTGTTCATGGAGGCTGGGCGACTTGTGTTGGAGGGTTTGGAGTAGCAGGTTATAGGCCGAGGACATGGCGGTTCTGTCGCACGTGTGGAAGCTCAGCGGCAAGGAACGGTTCAGGACGTTGGCAAGCGCAATGAACGCGTCGGTGGCGGAGGGAAGGTTGAGAAGCAGAATAGCGGCAATTGTCTAGTTGGTCTGTTAGTCTCTCTCTCTCTCACGGGATAACTTGTCAGAGAAACTTACATTGCAGCCCGGAACATATCCGATATCACTCCGATACATGCAGTATGCGCTGAGAACATCCACCAGGCTTTGGTGAAGGGGCCCTCCAGTTTGGAAGATGCGAAGGTCAGGGAAGGTATACTCTTCCACGTCCGTCTTGATGTCATCAAACCAGGCCGCAGCGTAGGAATCGTCGGTGCTGCCTTGTCCGTCGTTCACTCTTTTTTGGGCATCATTGGCCCGCTTCAGGGCAGCCCTGAACGAAGCATCAGAAAGTGCGAGCCCGTTGCCAATCGCCTTGCTCCACACAGCACCTCGACTGCGTGGCGCAATACCACGCCACCATAGCTCTCGTGTCCTGCGCTCACGGATGGCCTCGTCCCAACGAGGGATGATGTTCTCCTCCCAAATATGCATCAAATTGTCGGCTCTGGTATCACGGTTCTCGATCCGGGCCTTCTTTGTCGCTTCTCGTCTACGCTCGGCCTCGAGGCTCTGAGCCATCATCCTCTGGTACTCCTTTAGATGGCGACGTTCCTCGGCGGGATCCTTTGGCGGGAGCCAGGAAGGACGAGTGCGGGACAAAACAGCTTCCTTTTCCTTGGACGGCGGTAGAGGGTCGATCATGACATTGGACTTGCGAAGCGGCGGGAGCTCAGGAAGTCCCGATTTCACACGGGGCTTCCCGTCAGAGTTTCTGCGAACAGACGGCGTGCTGGACCGCACGCCCTTTGCTTCCAACTCTTCGGCATGTTCCTCCAGCTTTTCCGTGAGCTCCTTGGCATCGGAGTTGAGTTCAGCCAATGCGGCAGACCAGCTCTTGGATCTGGCGAGTTCCAGAGGGGTGACAATGGTGGAAGCAATGCTGGCTCTCGTAGGCACTGCGGTATCGGACTTCCATGTCGGCGACCTAAGGGATCCCTGGGCTGCTGCCACTGGTGGAGTGCCATTTCCCACACTTCGTACTCTTTTTTCAGGAGGAGCGCGTTCTGGAGAAGGAGCTTTAGAAGAAGGTTGGCTTATTGTTCGTTCCGAGGGTGGCCTAGGCGAGATTGGCACATTATCAAGCACGAGCCCGTCAGGGATGTCGTCTCCGTCATCTTCGTCGCACTCCCTCTCCAACTGTCTGGCTGTCTTTCGCTCCCGGCTCGATTGCCAGCTACTCCTCCGTGGCTTCATGGGAAAGCTAGTCTGGAGATTGGGGCTAATACTGCGTTGCCGTGTCGAGGAGGGTGATCGGTTTCCAAGGGAGCGCATAGGAAGAGGGGCAGTGTGAAGCTCGGGGGTAAGCCCCAAGCTCGCGACTCGGCCATTGACAGGTCGTAGATGACTCTGGATATTCGGGAGGGTCGGACGGGGTTTGCCCGTTGATGAGACATCCCGCTTCTGGCGGGTTTTGGACGGACTGCGGGAAGATCGACTGCTCTTGGAGGGTACTCGCAATTCGGAGGAAGGGTTAGAACTATACAGCATGGGCGAGGGCTTCAGGTTCTTAGTTAGCCCTCGAACATCGACATGGGATTCATCCTGGAGTCCAATGTCTTCAAAGTGGCTAGCGTCAGCAAGCACGCTGTCATCATCTGAAGGTACCGAGTTCAAGGATGAAGACTTGGAAGACTTGGAATGTGTCAAGCCTGGCGGAGAGCTGGGGCCGGGGAGATCATGGACGGATCGCTCGTATAACATCATCTTTGCCACATATATTTGCGAACAAAAGCTGATAATTTGTAACGGGTTGGAGGTGAGGTTTGCTTCTTGGGGCGGGCCCTAGTATAGCTGGGAAGGGTCCTTGGTCCCAAGTGGCCTGGTTCAAAATGCTGCAGAAGGCGGATTGATGCAAAGCGCAGCGCAAGCGCACGTTTTTGGAGATTGAGTTATCGTCGGGGAGCTGCAGGGCTGGCTGGCAGCCGTTGGTTGGCTTACAGACGCGCGCACTTGAGGCTGGGCGGCAATTGGAGAAGAGGCGCCCCTGGAACAGACGTCGAATGTCTCAACTGATGCCGATGGTTTCGCAAAGCAATGGCCAGTTGGAGTGAGTGGGACAAAAGATGGCTTCGGGAGGTTTGGATAAGAGATATAGTTGTTTATGTCTCTTCAGGTGAGTCTCCAAAATAACTAAGCCTCTTGGGTCATGAACGATGGTGATGGTTGTCGTCGTTATCAGAAGCGAGGGTTGAGTCGGCGGTAGTGGTGGTGTGATTATTGATGATGTAACGAATGTGAGGTTGAGGGGATGAATGGTTGTTTGGTGGTATGAAGATGGAATAGGAGGAGAAGGTGCGAACTAGCAAAAGCGAATGAAGAGTTCGACACGGAGGAAATATCCGATCGATGAAGATGGATGACGACGACGGTGGTCGAATGCGGTCAAGAGCGAGAGTAGAAATGGTTGGGTTGAAAGAAAAACGAGCGTAAGGCAGTGTGAAATTGAACACACAGGCCGTGGATGTGCGACAAGGAAGACGCGAATCAATACAGGTCCCGAAGCCGAGATTGATGATGAATGATGAAAGACCAGAACGAATGACGGAAGACGGTGGGCGGATAAGGGAAAGGAGATGCAGGCCTGCAGGATGGCTGGCAACTAGCAAGTCGGCATTGAACAGGAATCCAAGGAAGACTTGGACAAGGTGAGGTTGTGATTTGTGAGAATTGGACGAGGAAATAGCACCAGCGATGCGTTGAAGTGGGAAAATCAAGGCACGGACCTTTTTTCCCTTGTTCCCCCCTTGGCCCGCCTGCCGCTAAGAGGTCCCAGGTTCCGCTTCAAGGCCCGCTTACACCACTGCAGTGCTAAAGCAGCGACCGTTCACCAACCATCCATTGCAGCTGCCGGGCGTTGCAGGCCTGCCGCCCTGGCAGAAGTCCACTTTCCTCCACTTCTTCAAGCAGAAAAAAAAGACTCGGTCGAACTGGGACCCAAATTGGCCATTGGGCCCGCGAAATGGAGCTCACCACGTTGGATCCACCTCTTTTTAGCTGCTTCGAGATTCGAGCCAAGTTCGATCTAGGGAGAAGTGTAAGTAGTTTGTTGTACCGAAAATATCCATAGCAAAGGAGAAGGAAGTGAGGAATATCCAAACGAGATTCCCTTCTCCATCAATGGAATTCAACCCATTCGCTCCCGGGATCTCTGTCCCGCTATCCGGCCACTCCGGCGGATCTTGACGAAGTTGACGACTGCAGCTGTAAATTGCAAGATAACGAGATTTCTCTCTCTAGATTAATGCCGTGGCCAGCGTTACCAACACCAGGGCCGGAGCTGCACTCCTGTCCCGGCACGGTTTGCGATAAATATGGTTCCCGATTACAAGCAGGCTTTCCCTCTCGCCACCATTCATCATCCAGCAACCGGACGGGAGCGAGCATGAGTCGTGCTAGAACGCTAAAGATTGCAGGATCATGACGGAACCCCATCACTCTACAGAGCTTTCTCCAGATCTCCGAGTCTGGCCCTTTGAAAAAGAGACGGCAAACAAGTTTTGTCCCTGTCTGCCCGGCTAGTTGAGGAGCTGTCGGATATAAAACCAACAAGATAATGCACGTAGATGAGGGAGGAGGATGACAAATTAGCTACAGGCTTGTTTGGCTCGATATTGTTGTGCATGTACATAACGCATACACGAGCGGTAAAAGCCAATCATGAACTTTCCTCCTCTTGTATCACCCATCCCCATCTCAGTTGCCATTATCATTACAAGGAGAGGGGAGATAACGAAGCCGAAAACATGTCGGTTAGGCCAACTCAAAATCAAGTCATCACGGTCAGAACTCTATTCTACCACTGCTAAGAAGGCATTGAGCATTTATCCAAGTGGGCGCCCAGAAAAGATGCTTGAAGTTCAAGTTCGTAGAGCCAGCCAGCTGACCAATCAGAAACCAGCTCCCTAATGTTAATGCTTATGCCAGCGACGGGAAATGAGATGGTGGGGGCAACCGTCAATTAAATGCGGAGAACTCCTGTTTTAGATTTTCATCGTCAATGGAGCTTGCCGTTCGCCATCGCCCGGCGGCGGGATATTCACGGGAGCTGGAACCCCCCCTGGAATTCCATCGTGGATTCCCAAGACCACTGCCGAAAGGAAGGTCCAACGATCCTTCGAGAAGCACCAGAAGCACCACAAGGAATGACCCAAATGTAGGGCACTGGGACTCGTAGGGAAGAAAGCCAAGACTGGCCAAGGCGAGCCAACATCAGACAAGCCCTTTAGCCCAGGGGTCGACGACATTGGATCGAGGTGAACCTCCACGGGGGTCTGCCACGAGGGAGGCCGGCTTGGCTATGGCCTCACGTTGGGGGCGGTCCGCCGGTAGCGGTGCGGGCCATCAGGGTCACTTGGGCAGGTCGTTTGTCGATCCATCAAGTCTCAATTATCCTCTGGCTCTTTGACTCTCCTCGATCCTCCTCACAGGCTGCCTCCTTCTGATACCTAGTCTGACGGATACCCAACATACAGTTGGCAAGATGGAATGCTTGAGCAACTCCCCAATACCTCCATAACACTCATCATGTCACATCGAACAACGGGACGAAATGGTCCTAGTAACGCCATATTGTTTGAAACTTGAGGCCGATGAGGATGCTTGTCCCCTTCGGTCATTGTGTTTTAGTCGAAGGAACAGTATGCTGGACAGTAGCATTCCATCCATGAGACAAGATCCCGCAACCGCAACCGCAACCCCGCGTCCTCATGGCTCTAGCCTGTTACTGTCGAGCTGTCAAAGAGATGTCAAAGAGATGTCATGTCCAAAAAGACACCATGAATATACATATGATGGCAAATTTATGAACAACCTACACTACAAAAGGAGGAGATACTTACCCTGCGAGTCACTCAGACTCCAATCGCGGATCTACCTTTCTGGTGTATCTCCTTGTCAGCTTTTGTTTCGGAGTGGCCTCAATCATAGTCTCAGTCTCGCTCACTGTCCTCCCTGCCACTCGCCGCGTGGAGCTTTCTTTCCCCAGGTTTCTCAGATCGCGGGGGGAATATATATTCTCCTGTTGCACAGGAACAGTCTTTTGCATTTCTTCCTCTCTCGAGACGGGAGTCCTGTTACCCAAAAGCTTGCTTCGACAAACGCGATATCACGCCGCTGTCATCTTCTTCGTTGAAGCACTAGCTGGCAATGTGTTTCCTCTGATGAACAAAACAAACAAGTATCGTCATGACGTGCCTCCTTCCAGGGAAAAAGGGTGTATAGGCTGAAGTAGGTCGTCTGTAGTGCAGACAGCTTGGCCGTGACGTGACGTCTATTGGTCTCGGTTCTATTTCGAGACATTGTATCCGTCTTTGTGATACTGAATAGTATCGTCCGAAGATGTGAGATCTTACATTGACTGACATCGATATTAGTCTCATAAGTAGTCTAGCTGGCAAGAGCAAACGAACGAGGCGCCTTCCATTCTAAGTAGACGGGCACAGGGAAAGACTATCAAGGTTCTCACTCGAAAGTTTCGCCAATACACAGAGGGGCAGGCAGCACCGAGTGCGACAGCTTCCTTCCTTCAGCACAATGAAGTGAAAGATTGAGCTCATCGATATCTCGCAAAAGATTTTCAAAATCTTCACAGACAAGCAACATCCACAAAGTCAATATCCATCTCTCCAATTTCTTCCAGCAACTCGTCTACAACCAACCAAGATCTCAGTCACCACCATTGACGAGATCTCATCAACAACTTCCACAACCCAAACAAACAAACAAACAATCAATCAACGAAAATGCATGAACTCTCCATCCTCTCCGCCCTCGGCATCTCTCTCCTCGCCTCCTTCTCCTTCACCTTCGCCCTCGCCCACCCCACAGCTTCAGCATCTCCAAATCCAATCCCCACACTCTCCAGGTCCTCCCTAGTCACTCCCCCCCTCTCTCTCGCTCTAACTCCCCCTCTCCCTCACAACAACGACCACAGCAACGACAACAATGAAATAATAACCGGCAACTTCTCGCGCTCCTGCGCCCAAATCACCCTCATGAACGGGTACTTCCTCGCCGCGACTTGCCGTCCTATCAAGCCGGCCGACGTCTCTGGTGGCCCAGAGGAAGAACAAGAACAAGAACAAGGGGCAGGGGAGGGGGACGGAATATCCCAATCCCAATCCCCAGAGTTTAACCAGCTTGACCTAAATCTGTGTATCGGGTTTGACCAGGGGACTACCACCACCACCGCCGGCGGCGGCGGGGGATTCGGTTCAAGTTATGATGTCCCTGGGAAACTGATCTGGCAGGCGCTGTGAGTTTTTTTTTTCTTTTTTTCTTTTTTCTCTTTTCTTTCTCTCTTTTTTCTCCTCTTATTTCCATACTTCCTTCTTTCTTTTTTCTCTTTCCCATCCCCTCCCTCCCTTGAGTGGCCCTGTGAATGAATGCCGCATTAGAGGAAATACCTATAGGCAATAAAGCTGACAAGTCTTGAATTCCAATCACATCACAGAGGCAAATTCGCAAACTACTGCACCGATTGCAACCTCACCACAACTGCCGACCTGCCGGTGCGCCTGTCTGAACTCAAATGTAGCTGTGTCCCGATGACGGCGGCGGCGGGTTCTGATGCTACTGTTATTACCGTCTTAGACCTTGGTATGTTTCTTTCTCTCCATCCAGGGCAGCTCACGTTGGTTCGACAAAAGAAAAGAAAGTAAATGGCTGACGACAATATTTGTCTCTACAGACGAAGGCGTGGAGAACAGAAATGGTACACTTGTTTGCCGTGGTGGAATGGGGTCAGGAATCGGTCCTGGTCCTTTTTCTGCCTAGGACCGAGGATCAGACTAAGGAGGGAAAAGTGTGGGAAGAGAGCGAGACGGACGGGTTCTCCTGTTGGCTGTACCTGTGACGCAGGCGATGCAAGTTCGAACTTCTTCAGTGCATCACGAGTTAGAGAACATTTCATACATATGCAGTGGTGAGCTCCTTGAATCTTGATGTAACGTTAGTCTTGACTATCAACTCTCGAAAAGACCATTTCTGGGTCATCAACCCATCTACAAGGAGTTGTCTAACATTTACACTGAAACAAACAATCCGTCGAACGCCGCCTTCCATGATATGATGTAGCCGTTTGGCATACCCAATGCCGCCATTCCCAACCAACCCAATGATGCCAAGCCAGCCGGCTTAATGAATTGAAATCCCCCCTTTAATGCGTAGCCCCCAAAAACTGAAAATGTACAGCCCTTCTAAATGTTGTAGAGGTGAGATACCTCAAACCTCCCAAACCAACTCAATCACCTCATCCATGCTCTCGCCCACCGCCGGTCCAGCAGCTTTGTGCACATAAATCTGTCTGAACCTCTTCTTACCCTTCCTGGGTGATATCCATGCTCTGCCTTCCTTTGCCCCTCCGCCCTCTTTCTTGGTGGCCGTAGACTGTGTTGGTGGCTTTGACGATGATGATGAATCCTCCTCCCCAACATCAACATCCACCAATCTCCAACTCTTCTTCTCCTTGCCCACCTGCAACCTCCCCCTGACCGGACCATAACTAAACGCAAACTTCTCCTTCCGTTCCGCCTCCTTCCACGTTCCCTCCACCCTTGAGAGGTCAATATCGTCGAGCCCATTGGCAAGGCCAGGATATTGCGTAATCGAATACCCCAGACTCAGCAGACTTTCCTCCTCTTTCCTTTTCTTGTTGTCTTTAGAAGAAGAAGAACCAGTTCCGAACCGAACCCTCATTAAAAAACAATCTCCACAAACCTCCTTGGCCACCCTCGCCATCTTGGCCACCGGCGCGTGGTACCAACTCTTCCAATGATGCAGACTCAGCACCGGCCAGATGCCGCTCTCAAAGAAACCTGAGGGGTCCCCCTTGATATCATGCTGATTCAGCCCCTCCACCAGCGTCAGTCGGGTTCGTGTGTGCGAGTAGATGCAATCCCGCAGGATTCCGTCGCCGGTTTGGACCGAGGCAGTGGTGATGCATTGCTCCAAGTGGGGCGCCAGTTGTCGCGCTAGGGGCAAAGACAAAAAGGAGCCGGCGCCGCCAAAGGCCATGAAGCCCCAGGCTTGCACGGCCATGAAGTCATCGGATAGAGCGCCGAGCCAGGCCGGGCGGGTGTGGTCGTATCGCGAAAGGGTTTGGGAGAGGGGGGAAAGGGAGGGGAAGAAGGTGTCGTCGTCTAGGATGGCGAGCCAGTGCGGAGGCTGGGATGACTGGGACGAGTCGATGACGGAGAGGAGTTCCTTGATGACGAGAAAGTGGTGGTGCTCGACGGGCACGGGACGAGGGTCGGGTTTGCCGTCTTTGAGGTTGAGACGCTTGAAGACCTTGGGAGGGACGAATGTGGCGATGATGCCTGCGGCGCGGTATTCCTCTTCGAGTAAGGTAAGGTTGAACGAGTTTCGGGTGCTGTCGTCTTGGTGCTCGGGAGGTACGGCGTCGGCGATGGTGCCGACCAGACGGGCGCCCGTGCCGGCTAGCCAGTGGGCAAAGGCTGGAATGGCTTCGCGCATGCGCTGATACTTGGAGGCGACGCCAAAAAGCAGGTGCGGGTACTGGGCGTCCTTGGGGTAGGGCATAGGCACCTCGAGGGCAAGCGGCTCGCAGGGGATGGGCTCATCGTGGGAGCACGAGGTGAGATCGAGGGCGGTGGTGTTGGTGACGAGCGGCCCGGCGACGTTGGTGATGGTGCTGCGGTCGAAATCGGCCTTGTAGATGGGTTTGATGCAGCGGCGCGAGTAGAGGATGTTATCGGTTAAGCCAAACTCGGGGCGACGCAGGAACTCGAGGTCCTTGGGACACTGGCCTGGTTCGAGCTTGGGTCTGTAAGGTCGTTGTGCGCCTTTCAAAGTGGTCTGGTCTGCTGGTGGCGGCGGGTTGCTCCCTCCTCTTCCTCCTCCTCCTCCTCCTCCTTGCCCTTTCCACTCCCCTATGCCTCCCCACTTGTCGAAGGTGGTCGGTAGTAGAGAGCCATGATGGCGTAGTCGGGCGATGCTCCATAGAACAATGATGAAGACGAGGGTGACGATGATGGAGAAGCCCCGAGTTGGACGCTGGAATAGTAGTACCTTCATGGTCATGGTTTCGACATTTGAACTCCCACCAGTGACATGAATCCCAAATGATGTCGAGGGGTGTCGAGTCTTGAAGATGCAAGAGCTAGCGAGCGAAGCAGGCCGCGTAACCAAGGAACGTTGGGTTCACGCAGAGGCGCGATCTTGAGCTGCAAGTAAGTAGGGTAGGGTCTGGGGTGCCTTTTGCCTTGGCAGAGGAAGGAGATAACGAAGGACGGAAGGAAAACAGAAAAAAAAGGAATGGAATATCGGGGATGAACAGAGAAAGAACAAAAAGAAGAGAAAAGAAAAGAAGAAGAAAAAGGCAGGAACAGTTCACGCGGACTGGTAAAGAAGAAGTGTAACGGACGGTAAGTAGCAATCACAAGTCACGGTGATCCCTTTCCCATGCGGGCTTCCGTACCTACCACCTTCTCATCGTTCGTCATTCGTTCCGTCCCGCAGTTCGTATATCAGTCAACTTAGTGTTGGTGGAGTTCCTTGCGTGCGAGAACAGAGGGACCTTGTCCCCTTTTCCCTCCCACCTCTCAGCTTCTTGAAGGCAGAAAGGTTCCAGTTTCGAGCCGGGCACTTGGGATGCATTTGGCGGCAAAAAACAGGGATGGGAGGTTGAGAAACATTAGATTTGAGACAGCAGCAACAGATCCCCGGAACTCTGCGACTCCACAAAATCTCCAGACGACGTTGCAAACCCGTTCCAGTGTGACTTGCAGTGCGTTGCATTTGCTACTTTCAACCGCCAGTCGGCCGATCGCGAACATGGGAGTGGGCTGCTGGTGGACCTGGCACTTGTTGATCTGTCATATCGTGGTGCTTTCACCCTTCGATTTCCTGTTCCTATCAGCACCTTTTTCTATTCTCTTCCAAGGAAGATGGATGGGGATTGTTGGAGACTGAGAGCCACTCGACTTGATAAGTTGCCATATCCACACCGCCGATCAGATCATTATCGTTAACAATTTCTGAAACAAAATCTGTTGCGCTTCTGGAGCTCCTTCATCCGCCATCTCTGGATGGAATTCAGAGAGATGAAAATGATTTTAATTGCAAACGGTCTTCTTGGTTCGGTAGCCGTTGGAAAACCCCAGATAAGCATTTCCAGGGTGACAACGGCTGTTCTTCGATGCATAGAAGTGAACTAGTATTCCTAACAGCTTTACATATGAGCTACTAAGCGAGTCAGTTAGTGCATCCATCGTCCCCTCTAGGTGAACCCGCTTTTCCTTCCGCTCGCCTCCCCCACAAAGCCAAGTCCAAAGCCAAGTCGGCCAAGAAAGATAACAAGTCCAAGGGACATCAGCTCTGTTTTTCACCACTCAAGAAAATGAATGAGAAATGATGATTTTTGCACACATGATAAATCCCTCAAGATATTTGCAATATAAGGGGGTTTCCTCACGTCGTCAACGAGAATTACGCCCCACCCCAAGCATTATACCGGTCCTCATCCACACCAACAGCCGGGGGCATAAGAAAAAAAGGGGGTGATCGACGACGTACCATCACTGCCACAAGATCAACCATGAACGGGCACTCAGGACACTACGGTGTTTACTAACCAGAATAGTCAAAAAGCCGTTTTGTAAAAGAGGTGCTGTTCAGCCTGGGAAGCATAAACAAAGTGCTGAAGAAGATTTGCGCAGTATCCATCAGAGGTATACCGTATAGAGTAAGCCGGGAATTTAGAAAAAGGTATAGTCAGGAGAGAGAGAGGAAGTCATTGTTGTTACCGTTGTTGTTATCTAAATTTCTGCAAGAGGTCCTCTACTAGAAGGGATGATCCTGTCCCGCGTTCTTCACCCATGTTTTGCATTCTTCGGTTTTATTCCCGAAGTGGTCGTAATGATGAACCGATCGATTATAGACTGTCCAACACGGTTTGCGTTGTTTGAGAAAGGCCACGAACAAACTATGCTGGGGACTACAAACGATCTGGATCGCATCGGACAGAGTCCATTAGAGATTCGTTCCAATTAGAAACTGCCTCGAATTTATAAGGTTCAAGGGTAGAATAAAATAGAGATGGTTCAATAGGTGAATGAGTGTATCCAAGGTATGTAACGTAATGTATTCGGTATGTTTTTTTACGACCGTTCGCCTACCTATCTGATACTTACAGTCAACCTAGGATGAGGATGGGTTCAGTTGATGGTGACATAAAATGCCTAGTCTCATTTCACTTAATCCCCCGTTGTTGCAGACGGGAATCAATTAGGTGCAACAAGAGAAAGATCCCCAAGAGAAGCAAGTTGTCTGCCAATGTTCAACCCATCATCAGAAGATTTGGATTGGTTACTCCCTCCATCTCATCGGGTACAGCATCCCATCCCATCCGTCAGTTCGTCTGTATCAAATTACCTTGTATTTACCTACTGCCACTGCCGTGTCGTTGTACAACAACCGCTGGCCGTGTCATCTGCCCGTGCCAAACGCATGTATCTACCCGCTCCCACTCTCGCTTCAGGTAGCAATCTCGAAACAGAGAGAGGGAGAGATCCAGCACTACGGAAGTAAAGTAGGTATCACGACGAACCAGCTAGCCAATATCACAAATATCCCAAGTGAAGCGTCCACAGTTCGTTCGTTCGTTCAATCGTTTATTTTGTGTGTGTCCTATTCTAGTAGAGCACTAGCTCGGAAACGGGACATGCACAATCCCTCTCTCCCTCTCTCCCGTCCCCTCTGCGGTTTCAACGTCCAGTTATTTTTCCTTCTTTGGACCTCCTCCGCTGCGCCAAAAAATTTCGAAACAAATCAAAAGTAATTAGCCAAATCGATATGCCCATCCGTCTCCAACAACGGAAACAGATTGAGCGCTCCAAATGTCTGATCCGCATCCGAGTCCAGCGAGCCGCCCATGATAGAGAACTCGGGCGTGCGAGGAAGGGACTCGGTCATGCCGAGAAAAGTGGTTGCTGCTGTTGATGTTGACTCGTGTCCGCCGAAAAAGTCAAAGTGGCGATTCATGTTGTTGCTGTTGAAGCGGCTGACAACGGGGGAGAAGGCGGTAGATGATGGTGTGTGTGCATGGGCATGAGCATGGGGATGGTGATGATGGTGGTGGAGGTAATTGTGATGATTGTGCGAGTTGTGGTGTGTTCCAATGTGATATGATGAGGGTTTGGGTGGTGGTGGTGGTGGTGGTTGTTGTGTGAGAGTACTACCATCGCCGCGAAAACTTCCAGGGATACCACCAAATTGTCCTCCTACTGAGGGGTTGGTGTGTTGGATGCTTCGTTGATAGTGGGATTGTTGGTCGTATTGATGTTGATGGGAAGTGAGGGAGGTGTCTCTGAGATCTTCGTGACCGTTGATGATATTGTGGTTGTTGTTGTTGTGGTTGTCATTGTTGTGGTTCTCATTTGTAGTGTTGTCCCCAGAGTTTCGACCAGGTATAAGACCAAATAACTGGGACGAGCTTTCCGTTCTTCGAAGCCGATCTTGCATCTCCCTCTTTTCTAAATAGGCCAAGGCCGTGTTGAGCAGGGACTTGGCGATAAGCGAGTACTGCACGGCGTGAGCATCGGCTTCGGCAAAGTACTCCAGCGCTGCGATGGAAGCACGGCAGTACTTTTCGATGATACGACCAAAGCCTCCCAGAAGGCCTAAGCCCAAGACAAGCGAGGAGGCAAAGAGCCATGACCTAGATGGGGGTTAAGATACATAAGAGCAAAATGATTCCAGGGTATAAGGGTCGAGAAGGTTGAAATATAACACGGAAACTTACACAATCACGGGCGCCCGCCGAGCCATCAAACCTCTTTCAATCAGATCCTGGATCGGATCAACCATCAAACTAGCAGCATCAATGCAAGCATCCGCAAGTTTGGATTTGCCCGATGTCACCACCCCATCTCTTGCTGTGAATGCTTCCGCCGGATACCCCTCGGCCAGCCTTCGCCTCAGTTCAACCATGAGGAACGGCCTCGACACCAGAATCACTGCATAATAATACGAGGCAAGCACCTGACAAGCTCCATTAACCACCATTGCCTCCGACCCCGCTGCCGTCAGTAGCGGCGTCTGTCTCGGGCTTGGCCGTGGTCGCTCCTCATCAATCACCCGCTTCAGCCTTTGCAACCACCTAGCTGACCACTCCCTCAACTCCCTCGAGATACCCTCCGTCAGCTGCGGCGAGATTTTCCGCCTCGAGTACACCTCCAACACGATTCCCTCAATGATCAAAAAGATCTGCGCCGACCCGTTCAGCAGATAGTCCCCACTGAAATCCGGATCCGTCTGCTCCCTCCCTTCGCCGTCCACGGCGTGGTACAGCACCGTGCAGTCAACGTCGCTGGTCGCAGGTGGTCGGCCCATGGACGTGCTAAGGAACAGGTCCACCACGCGCAGGCTCTTCCACAGCCGGTCACGCTGGCGGTGAATCTCGGGACTGAAGCGTGCATTAACCTCGGTGCGATGAATTCCGATGCTGAAGGCCGAGCGCGCGGCGATGCCAAAGAAGATGAACGCCCCGTTGATCTGGCACGCCCCTAGCATGTAGAGCGTGATGAGCAGGAAGGACTGCACCGAGGCTAGGCCGAGGTTGCCGCTTAGGTTGGCGAAGGCGAGGTCGCGGGCATGATCGAAGTAGGCTTGGGCGATGCTTTCGGATTCGGGAAAGGAGGATTCCGGCACTCCTGACGGCTCGGACCGGGGGGAAGAAGATGATTTGTTGGTGATGGTCTTTTGGAAAAGCAGCCCAATGGCGAGGACGAGGTAGAAGACGGCCGAAGTGGCGTCTCCTCCTGGTGGTACGCCTCCAGTTCCTCCAGCTCCCAGGAACGTCCCCTCCTCCTCGTTCGCCGCCCTCATCCCCGTCCTTGACCGACCAAGTTGCACCGCCCAAGAAGTAATATCCTCAATCAACTGCCTCGGCTGCTGCGCCTGATCATCAAAGATATCAATGAGCCCGGCCGTGCTTTGAAAGTACGCCGTAACAGCCGATTCAATGATGGAGGTTTGGACGAGAGGAGATCCACGCCCACCACCGCCACTATATCCACCACCACCACCACCACCACCACGACCAATGCCACCATATCCACCATCACCAGCAGGGAAAACACCAGCAGCAGCATCAGCACCAGATGCCCTAGGGTAATACGCAGCATTGTTGTTCTCCAAAGCCGAGTACCCGCTATTCTCAGGCGCAAAGGCATCGGGATCAATGCGCGAGATGATCAGCCTCTGGACGGTGCGGAAGAAGGAAAGCGGGGCGCAGTCACCGATGAAGATGAGTTTCCCCTGAGGGTCGACGAGGAGACGGCCTTCGCGGGGGACTTCGGTTTCTTCGTTGTGGGCTTCTGCCCCTGGACCAGGTTCTCGTGGTTGTTGTTGTTCTTGTTCTTCTTGCTGTCCTTCCTGTTCTTGTTGAACAACATCGTGCTGGTTCTCTTGATGCTGCCGCCCCTGCCGTGACTGTGTCTGTGGCTGTGACTGCCCTACGTTGCCTACTACGCTGCCTCCAGTGACTTCCCCTGGCAGAGATCTCCGGCTTGGAATTTCCGACTCTTTTGTCACGACCGGCGGCGTCTCTTTGCTGCTGCTGCTGTTGCTGCTCCTGCTCGAGGCCCGGGCTTGTGAAGTGGAGGCCGCTGGTGCTGGATGAACAGCATGACCCCCCCGAGATGAGCATGATGGCTGTGGTGATACCGCCGAATGCGCACCACCTCCTCCATCTGCTTCAGATGGTTCTTGATGTCCTTCCTGTCCACCCTGTTCCCCCTCCTGTACTCCCGTCAACCTGCTCACCCTCACCCTCGCCCTCCGTTGTCTCGGAGGCGAATAAAGGCACAACGAAGGATGTTTCCGGCTCACACAGTAACCGCATGGCGTGGCGCCGTTGCACTTAACCTTGCGGCGTTTGCAGACGTCACAGGCGTTGGCCACGCGCGGGCGCGGGGACGGTAGGAGGCCATGTCCATGATCGGAGGAGACGGGGGAGGCAACTCGAGCTTCCATCGATCCAGGTCCCGATTCCCAGGGCCTCATCCCATTGATGTGTAGCTATGTTCAGCGCCTTTTGTGGTTGTGTTGGTGGTGGATTCCATCAAACTGGTTGCTTTCTAGAAGTGGAAATCGCGCCAAGAATGTGGAGTTAGTGCATGCTCTCCTCTTTTAGGGCTACTGAAGACAGGTTGCACTTGAACAACAATAACAACAACACTTGTCTGATGTAATTCTCAGTAATTTTCTTTGTTCTCTACCACTGACAATTGTCTGTCTGTGCTTCTGTCTCTTTCTACCTATGAATGCAATTTGTTAATCCACAGTTGGAAAGGAGAGCAAATCGCTACCCGACCGAAGCTCATGGATCAAATAGGTACAATTCCATCCTTCTGCTTGGTATCTCCATCCATGATCAATATCCCTTCTTTCTCATCTCTCCTTCAAACAATTCTTTGGTGACTTTCCCACATCTCTTTGTGAACCCCCTTCACCAAAGCCAGCAACAAAAGCAAATGACTTGAAAGCGACCAGGGTATCATGAACTCCAAAGGAAGCCCACATAGACTCCATGCATGCAGACATCCACGCATCCATCCAATCCTTCACAAAATTCAACAAGCAAGAAGACAAACCGAAGCACCCAGCAAAATCAGATCCTCCCTGATTCAGCTTTGACCTGACGTCCTTCTTCAAAACATCTTGAACAAGTCGTCAGCATACTTGACGCACAACCGTCCCTTGATCTCCGCCGTCTTCGCATCCTTTGCGGCATTCAAATCCTCCGTGAAACCCTTCAGCAACTTATCCTGATTCTTGCGAGCCTCCGCAATGGCAGCAGTGCCGGCAACCTTAGCAGCACCAGTACCCGAAGCCGGCGTCTCACGATGATGGCTACTGACGGCCCTCTTCCCAAGCTTGGGAAGCGGAATCGGCGTGACGCTGTGAACAGATCCCCGAGGACCAACGGTCGTAGCGCGGACTGAGCGAGCCAGACCAGTGGGCGAAGAATCAGGGCTGCCGTTGCTGTGGTGGCCATTGTGGTCGGCCTGAACCTGGGCTTCACCTCTGACCTTGAGGGTGCTGAGCTTGTTGACGTCCATCGAAATCCGTTTCAGGGCATTGAACAAAATGTCCTGGCGTATAGAGGCACGGAGCTCGTTGGCTTCAATGCGCTGCTCCAGGGCGGCGAGGTTCTGTTTGATGGTGAACAATTCACCTTGGAAGGTCTCGGAGTGAAATGAGAGATTGTTGTTAAACTTGACTACTTGCTTGGCAATGGCGAGCAGGGGATTGGTGGTCATGGTAGCGGCGACGTTTGAGGCGGTCATGGTCGCGGCGGTGTCCTCCTGCTCGGGCTCGATCTCTGGCTCCTGAGGCTTCGGTTCGGTGGAAACCCCCTCTTCCTTGCCGTCTTTCTTGGTCACTTGTGCTTCAGGTGCGGGCGAAGACTGGGTCGCAGCAGCTGTATCGGCAACCTGGTCACCCTTTGTGGACTGCTCAGGGTGGGTGACATGGAGGTTGGGAGCGACAACCTCGTCGATCTCGATGCTATGGTGCTCCTCAACCTCGTCTTGGGTCTTCTTAGCCTTACGGCCCTTCTTGCTCTTCTTCTTCTTGAGAGTAGAGGCGGGCTCATTGACGATCTCCGTAACTTCACGCTCAGCAATGAGCTCCTTCATATCTTTGGGTGCCGAAACAGTCTCAGGAGCACCGCGGTACTCAGCGTCGTTAAGCTGCATGAGTTGCAAGTCCACCTCGGCTTGCGTGGTCTCGCCAACCATCGTGGTATCGTCAACTGGTGTAGTTACATCGAGGTCCATGGCGTTCCCGTGCTCCTCCTCGACACTCTTCTTCTTGTCCTTCTTATGTTTGGTTTTCTTCGCCTTCTTAGAAGCGGAGACGGCGATGGACTCATCGTTGTCCAAGGCGTTGGATTCTTCAAAGCGCCGCTTCTTGTCCTTCTTGGACTTTTTGCTCTTTCTTGGAGCAGTCTCAGCGGCTGAATCTCCGTGCTGCTCATCCTTGATGATAGTGGTCATCTCAACATCTGACTCTTCGCCATTAGCAACGCCTCTTTTGCCAACCGCAGGGCTGACGACGACATGCTCTTTCACATGGTGCATCTCGGTATCTCCGTGCTCGTCGTCTCTGTCGTTCTTTCCCATCACGCGGTCCAGAATCTCATCAACGTCAGCCGGAGTGAGCGGATCAACTTCTGTTCCAACTTCAGCCCTGAAGGGAGTGCCAAGCTTGGGAGCAGCTGGAAAACCCTTGGTTGTCGGCAACGGGACCGGGGTGCACTTGTTCGACTTGGAGGGCGAAAAGTTGTTCGGCGAATAGTCGTACTGCATCATCCTGGGCATCGGTCCGGGAGTCTTAATATTGAGAGGCGAAGTAGGCGGGAAGTTCTGGTCCAGAGTGTAGTTCGGGACGGGAGTCAACTTTTGGAGCTTGTGAGGCGACCTAGCTTGCGAAGTGATGTTCTTCTCATCTCTAGCATTGATGTTGTTGACCAGTGTCATCAGGGCAGCAGGATTCTCGACCTGAAGCTGGGAGCTTGGAGAGGGTGAAGCGGACCTCTTCGCATGCTCATAGAGAGGGTTTCGCGGAAGTGGGATGTGACTGTCTGAACGAAGTGGGACGTTTTCCTTGGTCAATCCGGACTTTGCGGGGACCGGCGACTGCAAAGGAGTCGAATAATGCTCGTCTGCGACAGAGCCATCAGGTGCGACGGCCTCTTGGAAGACAGTGGCCATGGGAAAAGTCGGGCTTACAGGCTCCTGCTTGATCTTGACCATGTCTTCCTCTTGAGGATCAATCTCTTCGACGGTGACGAGGGTCTCATCCTTTGCGGAAGTGGCTGGGCTCTCAGCGCGAGCCTTAGCCTTCTTCTTACCTTTACTCTTCTTCTTTTTCTTCTCAGAAACGTTGACGCTCTGGCTCGGCTTGCTGTCAGGTGTCGACATCTTACCCTCAGGCGATTTAGCGACCTGCTTCTTCTTTTTCTTCGTCACAGCACCTGTGAGCCAGGGAGGTGCGTAAGGGGCCATGATGTGAGTCAAGAGCGAGATCAGCTTGAGGGAGTGACGATTGGGTGAACGTTGGGGGATGGAGAGATGCGCCTGGTTCGTGCTTCTCAGGGCTCTGATGGAAGAGTCAAAGAAGGCTTCGTGGGCAAAAGGCCAAGAAGATAATTGGCGAGAGAGAAGTTGTCTTGATGTAGTCGTCAAGGCGGTGTTGCTGGTGGAAGGTTGATGTTTGGGACGACCCGTGTGGAAGTAGGGTAGTGACGGGGGGAGATGGAGGATGGAAGGAGTGAGAGCGGGAAGGAGGGGGGAAGGTGGAAGGTACTGCGTCTCCCAGTGCCGACCAACTTGGTGTCTGCCTGCCGGTTTGTGGACCATTCACCAGCAGGCGCTCTTCCACTTGAAAGGTTGTCAGTCACCCCGAGTTCAGATCGAAATTACCGTGGTTGCCGGGTAACGATGGTAAGTATTCTGGGTAGGTACCTACCTCTAGGCAGTGAAGCAGGCCACTTGACAAGAAATAATAATCAGCCTCTTCTTGGTCACTCCCCGTCATCATGATAGCTGCCAGAGGTCGGTCATAGAACGTGACTGGTTGATTACTAGGTATTTACACAAGATGAACGAGCTGTTGCTGGTGTTTTCCATTTCAATATTTCCGGAAAATGGAGTTCGAAATATCGAAGAACATCCGAGTACATACAGGCCGCGCCCACATAACTACGTCGACATTTCAAGGTTGGAATCCCAAGGCACGTTCTCTCCTCTTGTGTAGGTTTCGATATTCCCGCTACGGTTGTTTCAAGTTTGGGTTCTTTGGGTTCTGGTCATCTTTCACTTGCTTCGTTCGGCATGCACATTCCCCAAGATCATGATCAATTGAACAAGTATGATGTCTGAATTTTGTATAAGCCAAACCTAGCCCAACCCGCTACCGAAAACGCCTGCAATGATAATAACTACAAATGGTATATGTAAACTGCCGGCTTGATCTCGGATACAACGCCAATTGTGACCGCTCAGCCACCTTTTGCAAAAAATAGATAATCGCTTGGCATGTTTGTACAATTTCTCCTGCTTAGTTTTGACTTCTCACCTCGCCTATCCCAGTCGCCAAAAAGAAGTACGTTCCCAGGATAGAGCACACCACAAAGGCAGTAAGCACTCCTGCGCCCGCCTTGTCTCTCTCGGTAAGCTCCGACATCGACATGACCGTCGCAGGCGTCCCTCCCGCATTGGGGTTGCCGCGACTCTGACCACCGGTGTTGTTGGTAACCAGAGGCTTGACGGCCTCGTGCTCCTCCGTGATCAGATACGTCGTGAAGGCGGCAAGGGCGCTCATCTCCTGACCGGCGGGGCCGTTGCTCACGTCGCCGTCGTACTTTCCGACATTCCAACGGTAGCCGCATGTGCCGTCAGGCAGGCAGCTGTCGATAACACCCTCGATGTTGGTCTTGAAGGCCTTGACTATAGGCTCTCGAACGAGATCAGGCGCCATGAGGGCGGCTGTGGCCAAGGAGCGAAGGAGGTAGCCCTTGAAGGAATGCTGGTCGATGTTGCAGAGGAGCCTGTCCGTGAGCTCGCAGGCGCGTTCAACCAAGATGCCCTTGGGGAAAAAGAACTCGAGGGTTCGGTTGACGAGTCCACTAAGGGGCTTTCCCCACTGTTCAGCATCTTCGGTCTGTGGTGTTGAGGCTATGTTAGCTATCAAAGTCCTGGTTATTCCGTCATTGGCCAAAAAAGCTTACCATGTTGTACATGATGGCGACACCATGAATGATGATGGCTGCGTTAGCTGACCATTGGACCTTGTTGATGTCTGTGCAGTTATGGGGGACATGACCACCGTCGTAGATGTTCCAGTTCTTATCGATGTAACCGACGTCCCTGATCCAGTTGAAAGTCTTTTCGGCCCACTTGGAATAGGTGCTGTTGTCGGTATAGCGTGCCAGTCTTGCGCCGAGGTTGAAGAAACAGGCATTGGCGATGGTATTCTGAGCCATGTTAGTCACATGTAGCAGCTCAAGGTGAAGCCCGTGGCTAACCCAAACTTACTTTGTAATCATATCCAGCATTGGAGGGGTAGATCTGCCAGCGCAAACCTCCGCCGCATTCGTCGTCATGGCGGTCGGGGGCAGCTTGCGTGTTGAAGACGGCCTGGGCCATCTCAAGCCAATCAGCCTCGCCGGGGACCAAAGGGAAGTTGACTTCGGCAGCGAGCATGGCAGACATTCCCCAGAAGCCCTGGTCATCGTTACCGAGAGAGGCAGTCCAATTGGGTGACATAAAGCTGTTCTGAGGCGCATCGGCTTGGAAGACGATAGATTGCTGGGTTACGGCATTGTATGTGCTGTCGCCAGTGTAATGCCAGTAGTCGATGAAGGTCCCCCACATGGCACCAGCCTCCCACCAGTAGTATGATCCATCGGGCGGGGGACCAGGAAGAATACCGATGGTTTGCCCAGGTTGGTTGCCAGTATAGTATGATATCAGATGCTTTGCGATGGTCTTTGCGGCGGATTTCACGGATGCTGTTCTCCGGGATTAGCTACCTGTCGTCTGGTGAAGAAAACTGGGTTGGTACTGACCAGTCTTGTTCAGGTCAACCTCGAATGTTGACTGTCCTGTAGTTGTTGTTGTTGTTGTTGTTGTAGTAGTAGTTGTTGACGCTGTTGTTGCGCCGTATACACTGCTAGCGGCAGCGAGCAGCAACGGTGCTACGCCAGCGATCCTGGTGGTAAAAAGCATGGCGAGTTTGAGACTTGATCCTATTCCAATTCCATCCACGCGTTTGTTTGCACGACCAATGATATGACGTTTTCAAATCGATATTATTGTATGAATGTTTGCGTAGGTACGTAAGGTAGATGCCGATTTACAGAAACAAATGCATGGGGAAGCTGATTTGGTGAGCGAGGGACAAGCGTTGGGAAAGCCAGAAAGAAAGGCAAAGGGGTCCCAGATTGGCGTTGGTCGGGATCGATGGAACTCCCTGTAGCCTTGTATGGGTTGTGACCTCCACTCTGTAATTTGAGATGGTCGTGGTCCGGGGCGGCGGCGGCGATGATGGCGGCGATGATGGCGACCCACGAGCAGTTTGACGGCTGAAGAGGAAAAATAAAACAACAACAACAACCACACGTCTCCTCCTCAGCCTTTCCTCCTCGCTCCTCATGAAGGTTCCCGTCAAGTGACGCCCCCTCCCCCCCC